GTACGTAGCTCAATTTAAGAAATTACAACATGGTCACCTTCCCTCCGCATGCGCCCCGCCGCGGTGGTCTAGTGGCTAAGGTACTCGGCTGCTGACCCGCAGGTCGCGGGTTCGATTCCCGGCTGCGGCGGCTGCATTTCCGATGGAGGCGGAAACGTTGTAGGCCCGTGTACTGAGATTTGGGTGCACGTTAAAGAACCCCAGGTGGTCAAAATTTACGGAGCCCTCCACTACGGCGTCTCTCATAATCAAATGGTGGTTTTGGGACGTTAAACCCCACAAATCAATCAATAAATCCCTCCGCATCCTTTACATAACTTTGATTTCCAAGGTGCGTGGGATCTGCCGAATTTTATTCATCAGTTAGTGACCGTGGTCTTGTCCACATGCAGATTCTGAACACCGCAGCTTCGTTCTAACTTAAGATGTGTTCGCAGTCACGAAATCTGTTGAATATGAATAGCTTCTTCTCCCATGCAGAGAGTTAGTACGCGCTCTTGGGAGTGGGCGAAGTCGTTGAGGTTGGTGAGTGAATCCAAATTTTGACCTAGGTGTGCCGGGGACCAAGTGATTGTGCACATAGTTGTGGTCCTGTATTTCTCTCTCTATGGAGCCTGAAGCAAACGTCCTGACTGCCGATCCAGACTCTGAATATATTTGCGTACTCTGGTCATCCTAGAGTGCCAAAGAATTAGCAACCTGCTCCGCTTCAAAAAAGGTGATCCCAGTCAGGGAGGCCGACGAGATGATTTGACCTCTGTTATCAATTGTTACCACGGCATAGTGAGATAAGTGTCTATATTGTGCCGAATCATACTAAGCAGACCGATTGGGGACCATCCCTGATCTTTTTCAGGATCGCATTCACTCTTGCTGTATATGCCTTCCCTCATTATTCAGCGGATGGATATTGCGAGATATCGGTGCAACAAGAATACTTTCTCTTTGCTCCTCGGTGATTCAATGGCTTCTCTCCTCTGCCAACACCGAGTTGAGGCCCAAAATGGCTAAGATTCTTCCCCCTGCCAAAGAGCATGATAGGTGAGCTCCTTTCTCGCTCCCTTTCCTCGAAGATTCTCGAAACACCAGTTCTTTCTTTATAAAAAGTATGCAGATGACTGTCTCCAAACTTTATTCTGCTTTCATTTCGGAGCTCATAAATTGTTCCTTTTAATTCATTGATATTTTAATAATAATAATTGTTGAGTTTTTACGTCACAAAACCGCGATATTATTATGAGGGACGTTTTATTAAAGGTTTCGGAAATTTGAACCACCTAAGATTTTTAACACGCTCCTATATATCTAGGCACACGAGCTTCTAACATTTGCGCCTCCATCAAAAATGCATCTGGTGCGACCGTGGTGCATTGATATCCTAGTGCACCGCTTAGGGCTTTACTTGAAGGGATGGCACATCAGGGCCAGTATATTTTAACAATGCCTTATTCAAGATTCTGTGCTAATATTGTCATCTGTGCTAACCTTGTCATTCAGCGTTTATGTCTGGCTGATACCTTTGATCAACGCCTTGGAAGAGGTACGGCCAAAATGGTACACGGCTTTGCGAAATAGGGACTACAGCCCTTCCCTATTTGAATGAAGAAATAGTTGAGATAAGCATCATGCTTCAGGGAGATATGCCATCCTGTTCTCAGGATGGCTATGGTGGTATGAAATGGGATGCACAGGCACGATACCAGTCTGATAAAGTAGTGAGTGACAGAGCAACGAGAAAGGCATAATTGTGTGGTTTTGTGGCGGTGCTTCAGCACTGAAGGGTTCATTGAAGGAAAGTTCAGTTGGATGTTCAGCCTCCATCTTTCCCTGAACATCAGTCTTGTTTTGATTGCAAAACATGCGTTGTAGCTCTTGCTCTGCAGGCCGTGTTTATACTATCAATACCTTATGGCGGTGTGCGACGGTCTTGAAAATGCCAGATATAAAGAGACTGAGGTGAAAAAAAGAAATTTAGAGGGAGGTTAATGCGAACAAAAGTACAAGAAGGGCTAAGTTACCTTACACTCCATAACACCGTAAGTGTAGCGCGAAAAAACACGGACAAGGAAGGGTACGCCACACAGGTATTGTTTGTACACCACGATCGCACGACACGAGAACTTGCCGAGGTCTACCACATTAACTCGAGGGCTGATTGATTGATTGATTGATTGATTGAGGATTGATTGATTGATTATTAATCAATTAATTAATATGTGGGGTTTAACGTCCCAAAACCACCATATGATTATGAGAGACACCGTACTGGAGGGCGCAGGAAATTTCGACCACCTGGGGTTCTTTAACATGCCCCCAAATCTGAGCACACGGGCCTACAACATTTCCGCCTCCATCGGAAATGCAGCTGCCGCAGCCGGGATTAAAACCCGCGACCTGCGGGTCAGCAGCCGAGTACCTTAGCCACTAGACCACCATTAATTTTTTTTATTACCTGTTTTTCTTTACAGGTGTTCACACAGAAACATGAATGATAAAATACACTTGGACCAATAATTCATTCGAAGTGCTCACATTAAAATTTTTTCAGGTTGCACAATTCCTCTAACATTTTTAACCAGCTGGGAAGTTCTTCTTGTTGTTTATACACCTCAGTGATATACCGCATATTTGCAAGGAAGTTCTCCCGGACAGGACGTATGTTCTGGTCAAGATGTCTGTAAGCCATTGTGGTCTGCCAGATGCTGTGAAGGCTAATTAACATAACCATGTCGTATAGTATGCCGTCCTCATTATCCACACAGAGAAAACGAATGCCATGGCTTGTAATGAGGAGATCTTTTTCAATGTTCTTTGAAGGATGTCCCAATGAAAGACAGCGTCCCAGCAATGAATAAACACATGGTCTATTGTCTCAGGTGTTTTACAAAGTAAACAATTGGTTGTCCATGGTACATCAATTCCCTTGTCCGCTAGCCACTGCTTTACGGGGAGAGTCCCAGAATGCAATTTAAGAAAGAAAGTTTTCGCCCCTACTTTTACTTTCATCATTTTGACCCTTTTCAAAACGTCCTGTCCGGGTCCTCCATTGAACATAGATCTGTACAAAGGTATTGGGAACAAGACATCACGGAGATCCCTGTACCAGATGGTTATGGTGACCTAGACCACTAGACCACCGTTAACGCGAGGGCTGCCGTGTACGTTGACAATCCTTCTTTGGCCTTATCGGAAAAAGAAGTCGCGCTACTCATGGAAAGGGGGTAGACCGGTGGGGAGGGGGTGCAGGAGGTGTTTTCTTGGTCTGTATTAGTGCCTTTTGTTTCGCCTACGATGCGCATGCGCGGGATTTTGTTGGGCACCTAGTGTAAGTGTTATATATTTTCGGTTTAAGCATTAAAGCTTTGAGTTGGGAGTAAGCGCTTGTAGTGTACCCTTTCATGTCCGTGTTTTTTCGCACTACATTTACGGTGTTATGGATCAGTACCAACTCGCTCGCCTCTCCGTTTTGCTTTACCTTACACTGTTTCGATTATACTTATCAATTTTTTGTCTGCATGCACACATTAGCCAAAGTAGTAACAAGAGAAAATTCTCAATCACTACAGAATCCATTGATTTCCTAAAAATCGAAAGTCTCTTGCGAAATAATCCCTAATACGAGAATGGAAGGCATAATGGGGCGTTGCAATTGCTGTATTTATAGCGAACCTAAATTTGAACGCTCCAAGTGTGCACACAAAACGAAGAAAAACAGACGCAGTCGCGTATGTCTCTTGATAAGTTGCACTGTACCTTCAGTACTCATTACCGCAGTACCTGCTTCGGGAAGCACTCGTGATTCGTGCATAAGAGACCGCGCATGCTGCTTTAGCAGCGTGCACCGTCTTGCAAAACATCTATAGTTGCTGAATATCACTTTGCTGCAGCTCAGCAACACGCTGCGAGGAGGGAGCAGTGGCGGACACCTTGTTTTGACAGCCGCCCCGCCAACGGAGCGAAGCGAGGTGTGACCCCATTCGCGGCCTCCCATATAGGGGCCCCGAACGTCCTCCGCCGTGCTACTCTTTCAGCATGTCCCCGCGCGGCGTACTTCTCGTGGTCCTGGTACTCGTCGTGGCGACTTACGCAGGTCCCTGCGGTGAGTGCGACCGTCGGAAAAAAATTCGTGAGCTGGGGGAACGTGATGCCGGACTATGCGTGACCGACCTGTTCTCTCGACAATTGGTAGTGACCAATCGCGGCGTTGCATTGTATCACATGCTGCGCTCGATACCAGCGAATTGTCTTACCGCTGACTAAAACTGTGCCGTTGTCTAGTGTTGTCGCTTGTTCGACGAATTGCGGCGCCGTTTTCGTCCGGTTTTTCTAGATATACGTGCTTGTTAGCGTAAGATGGTCGCGTATTGAGACACTGCAGGTCGGTGCTTGAGCTTCGACCTTTCAGAATGAATAGCATGCTCGGCGTCAATGGTGAACAACGGTAACATTAGCTTAACTGCACTAAACGACAGTTCAAACATTTGTTCCTTTAAATACAATCTTGCCCCCCGCCCCCTTGATTGTATAGTCAGCTGTTGTGCTCACGAGGAAATACCACACTTGTCTTGTACTTGTATGCTCCGGTGCTTTACATTTATTTTTTCCCTACTACAGACCGCACGATGAGTCAGCTACTATCCTGTTTTTTTAAGAACAAAGATTATGAAAGCCAACGTCATTATGCATAACAGTTTGTTTTGGAAACATGTCTATCTCGCTAATTCTCATGACCGAAATATGTTTGGACCAGTGATGTATTCTTTAGTGAATTATACACATGCAGTCGTTTGAATAAATTCGGATCCTTTACTAGCGTGAGACGAAACTTCGCCTACTTGATACGGGGAGAATCATGAAATGCATAATGTTTCTGGAATCTCAAAAAGACAAGGTGAAAATGTGCACTGGTTTTGTGCTATTATTTTGCTTTTTAGTTTGCACACTATAAGAATATTGTACCAAGTCGATGATTTATTGAAAAACTACATTTTACAGGAGATGATGAAGACCCAGACCGTGCAACATTTTGGTCTTGCTTTGCGAGGAAGCTAACCGCAACGGTAAGATCATGTTGGCCCATATTTGCGAACAACGCCGCCAGAAATTTCATCTTTTCTCTGCTGCCTCTTTATGTATTATCTCTAAAATGCCTTGATGCCGGCACAGTTCACAGCACTCAACAATCTCTTAACTAGAAGGCACTGCAATGTTATTTTTTTATTTCAAGGTGGGGAAATAATTTTGCGCTTTTACGTATTCCTAAAAAGAAGGCTGTATAAAATTGGAAGCACAGAAGGCATATCATAAATGGGATGTGCACGCCCAACCTAAGCGCAATCGGTATGGCACGACAAGATAAGGTTCTAGGTACAGATCATTCCAACGCTATGTTGTTTCACCTTCGAAGTTTTTCTCCATTTTACTGCGAATGTTGATGATGACTGATTGATATGTGGGGTTCAACATCCTGAAACCACCATACGATTATGAGAGACGCCGTAGTGCAGGGCTCCGGAAATTTAGACCACCTAGTGTTCTTTAACGTGCACCCAAGTCTGAGCACACGGGCCTGCAGCATTTCCGCCTCCATCGAAAATGCAGCCGCCGCAGCCGGGATTCAATCCCACGACGTGCGGGTCAGCAGCAGAGTTCCTTCGTCCTTAGACCATTGTGGCGGGGCTTTACTATGAATGCTAACAGACATTATACTTCTGCCGCACTGCATAGAGAAGGAAAATGTTTAACTTCAACGGTGGCATACAGTGGCTGCGGCGTTGAACTGACGCCCCGAAGGTCATGTGTCCGATCCCGGCCACGCCTCCCACATTTGGATTAAGGTGAAATGCTAGAGGCTTGTGACAGTCAGAGCTACCAAATGTTACCGAGTTAACATGAAAATACACGTTGTCGATCAAGTTAGCGAAACCACCTTGCTTAAAATGTTGTAGTGCTGCATTTGACGAGGATATGAAATGTTATTCTCTGTCTTGTCCTCGTAAAATGTAGCGCTGCAGTATTTTAAGCAAATAATCGTCACGAAAGAAGACCCCCCTCCCCTAAATATGGGCGTGACTTCTGAAAAGAAGCGCACAGTTAATGTATTATCTCATGATCGGATATATTTTTATTACAATAAAAAAACGTCACTCATATACGACAGGGTGTCGGAAAAAATCACTTCAGTTATTTTGCACAGCGAAAACATGCGCAGTAACGAAAAAATATCGCTCACTTTTCAGCATTGTCTCCAGGGTCTCCATCCGGGTGAATGCGTGTTTGCCAGTGAACGTTACATGTTGATTCCCACAGAGCATGTTTGACTTCACTCAACTACACAAAGTCGTCGTCAAACGTGCTGTTGTTGAAGGTGATGGTCACTAAGATAACTATATTTTCTAACACAAAACATTGAAATAGGCCTAAGAAACACGACAAGAAACTAGAAAATTCTCTATACAAACGATTCCACGAAAAAAAATAAGCCCAAATCTTCTTATTATAAGCGGAGCTGGCAACTCTGACAAAGCTAGTGCACTAAAAAAATCTTCAGAGGAGCTAAATTTCCAGAGTCTTCCTCTACGGCGGGTTTCAAAAGGATATCGTGGTTTTGGCAAGTAGAACCCCAGATATTTTCAACAGATGTTCGGTGTTGCTATTATCATCACCATGTACTGACGTCGTTTTACCCACCATGCATGGTAGCTTAGCACTACAGGTAACGCGTAGCGCTGCTGAGCTGTAGGCCGTGCCTTTCATCGCAGCAGCCGCATCTGGAAGGGAGCTAAATGCAAAAACACCCACGTAGTTAGCTTTACGTGTATGTTATAAAACTCCCGCTGATTAAAGCTAATTCCGAGTCCCGCACTTCAGCCTTTATCGGAATTACATCGCCATTGTACAATGTAAAACTCAAGATAATATTCTTATCGCTGCTATCTTCATCGCTGCTACCAAACTAAGCGACTACTTCGGCATTATTGCCCTTTCACCACATTAGACAACAGCACCTGCTTTCACAGTTAAGGGTTCATCAAAGTACCGCACATCTTACCACCACATCTATTTATACATTTAAAGTTTGAATTATGAATAAAACTCAGTGTAAAACATTTGGTGTTTTATAATGAAGTTTCAAGATTTTACGTAACTTCAATCTCTAAATACATTGCAGATAATTTTTTGTTCATACAGAAATACCTCTGCTAGAAGCCCATATGCCACATCACATATTTGAATACGTTTGTTTCTAATCGGCGTAATCCATAGGTTACGCTCCTCAGATGAAAACAAATACGTATTGTATGTGTTCAATGTCGACAGTGCTATAAATACTCTGTCGCTTAACTCAAAAAAACAACAAAGCTATCTTGTGGCATCACGCATACCGACTAACAAGAAGTTGCAGCGCATACTACTCAATATAATAATTATCAATACCAAATACGACAGTACAATGAATGGACACTGTTCTGAAGGCTCATCGCATATTTTTTAACAAATATACTGTCATCTGCGCAGATTTGTCAGCTCTTGTCTAAGCGTGTGCTAAGTGGTACGCATCGACCGGTGGCAAAAAAAAAGCAGTGCAATAGGACGATGGAAAACAGAAAAAAAAACATAAGAATACGCTGAGTGCAAATGAAGTTGATTTGTTGTGCACGCACATTAAACCAACTTTTCTGGCACTCAGAGCTCATATTTTGTGCTCGATTCTCTGGTATACTTTTTTGTTCATTGAAGGGTCCTCAAATATAATGTGTACCGTTTTGTGTGCCAGTGGTAAACGAGTAACTGTCAATCTAGCCTCCCCTGAAACATGCCGAGGATTACACGTACTTGCCGTGCAAGATCCAAGGGACAACTGCTCATTATTAATTCCTCAGTAGACACAAGGTATTCTGCAATCATTATTCCCGCAGCTTGTTTTTCCCCTTTCAGTGCTGGGCATCCGTGTTAATTTCATAATCAAAATTCATGCCGTCAGTCTAACGCTAGGGGTGCAAGTTCAGCCTGATCGTGTCATGCCTACTGCCATTAGTGCAGCGCATCCAACAAAACACACACACACACACACACACACACACACACAAACACAAACACAGTGAGCGAGAAAAAGATCGTCGGCGCATGTACCTAAACCAGTTTCGTCTCTGGACATGTGCTGCATGGATATAAGGAAACATGAAATCTAATAAATGATCAGGTTTAACGTCCCAAACCCACAGTATGATTAAGAGAAACACCGTAGTAGAGGGCTCCGGAAATTTCGACTGACTGGGATTCTTTAACGTCCACCTAAATCTAAGTACACGGGCCTCAAACGTTTCCACCTCCATCGAAAATGCAGCCGCCGCAGCCGGGATTCGATTACACGACCTTCGTGTTAGCAGTCCAACGCTATGATCACTGGACCACCGCGGGGGGCAAACCATAAAATCTGGCCATATGATAGCTACTGGTGCAAATTTATAACGTTCGCCAAATTTTCTTTCACTAATAATGTGACGGACGGGTCCCCGATGAACGCGTCCTAAATATATAACTATGTACTGCGCTTCGGTAAATTACACTGGTCAGTTCATTCGAGATTTTATGCAGTTTTGCCGGAAGTTATTGCTGCTTGTTGTCTTTGTGTCACTGTCCCGTTTTTGATGCGCTACGTCAATGGTAGTTTGTATTTTTCCGGCATTCGTCTGCGTGGTGGATCGCTGCAATGAGCGTATCTCTGCACAAACTCATTCACACTCATACTGAGTTCATTAAATAAAGTAATCAAAATACCATGCGTGTAATGTGCATTTTTATAAATTCGCAGGAGAAAAATGTCATGACCGACCTCAAGAACGTTTTCTTCCGAAGATCCCAGAAGCAGCTCAACTATCAGTGGCTTTGCGACCAGCTATCAATGCCAGCAAGGCGACGCCAGCAAATGGTTTGTGTATTGCTTTGGCACTGTAAAATGCTTTAACATTATCGTTCAACAGAGCATTGCAGACTAGATCTGGTTGATTCATTTATAAACTTAGGATTCGCCCTAAAAATTTGATGAATGATATCTCGAATACGTGCAAGATTGGCGATTTATAGAAAAAAGAATATGCCATAAATTATCATGCAAAAAATTTTCTAATGTAAACAACTGCGGCCAAGTTATTAACTAGAAAGTCAATTTACAAGTTTTTGGTAATTAGTCACAACAGTGTAGTTTCAGCTTCAGCAAAGTATTTCCGCTTCGACGAGGAGCTAATGCATGAAAACTAAAAGAGCTTAACTGTTACACGATCTTTACAAAAAAATTTTTAATGCCGTTAGAAAAATTCTGTATAGTTCATGTGTCTACGGAGCTAGAAAAAAAGAAGCTCCGTAGCTGCGGGCGTGAGAACATTGACAACATATGCTGTCGAAGATAGCGAAAGTCAGAGTAAAGATAGAATATTCGAGGTTCGATAATAGACTATCGCCCAAGTACCACCACACACGTACTCGCGGATTTGGGAAACAGTGGTAGAATGAAAAGACAGCTTCCCGCGGCCCAACGCGAAGAAGAGAGATGAAAGTATGCAAACATTGGTATAAACCAAGCATATAAATGCGCATATGCTTGTTTTGACAAAGTGTGGATGAATATAAACTGTTGGTACAGTTTAAAAGGCAAATGTTTTTTTCGAAAGTGCCATAGAAATATGATACATCCTGTTATTGCTGACCCAAAGGCTACGGCTTCCTTCAACAATCTAACTTCTCTCTCTGTCTCTCCCACACACACATACACAGCTTTACGATATAGAGAGCAAGCAAACATATCCCTTTGTTGGTTTGTTTAGAATTTTTAGAAGGTGACCTGAAGTCCCGCTGTGGTATAGACTTAATAGGCCACAAAAGAATAGTATAAAATCAATTTTCTCGATATCCAGCCAGTGTTTTGCTAATGAAAAGTGGGACATACATGTCCTGCTGACCCATGAAAGGATTCTCAAAAGCAGTAAAACATTCTACCGCTGAGTCATGGAGCCCGATCTTGCGGTCACATCGCCTGGTATTTGAGATGAAACGGTCGAAGCGAGTGGTGCAGAAGAGAGAGAGAGATAACCATATTTAAAGAAATCACTGGAGGTCTTAGTGTGGTTTATCACCTGACATGCTACTTCATATGTCTGGTGAAGATTGTGGCATATACAATGACCACGTATACACAAAAAAGTCATGAACACACATTTATGCACAAAAAGTCCATACTTACACCAACAGCATGGTTGTGTTGCGCAATCACTGCCTTGCCACGTGCCGAGAAGGTGCTGCAACACCAAGCTCCAGCCGCGATGTGAATGCAGCGCTGCCTTTAGAATCGTCGGCATGTGTCATGAAGGGAAAAGTCACACCAGACGTATTTCAATACTTCTCGGGTTTTACATGCGGTCAATGCCGGCGAGTCCAACTGCGGGATCGTGTGATTGTTGACACTATTGAATTATTTCGTATAGGCAACGACGAGTCTCAATTAGTGAATGCCCGTTTTATTTGCATGGACTAGTTAGTCTCGGTGGCATATAAAAGCTACACATCGGCTGAATTTTGTCAGTGATCCGTACTGGTTACTTGCATCGCACCACATTGCTTCCTGCAGATTCTATGCGAATGCAGATACCCAGATCACTGCGTCTTTTGTTGGTCAAGGGATGTCCGTTTTCTCAGATACCGCATCATGTACGACTCTGGCAGCGGAGTACGACAAACCTTTTCTTCTTTACATAAATTTATACCGCAGTGAGCTGGAATCCTCTGCAGTACAACATCATAGTGTATGCCATGAGTATTATTGCCTAGACGCCTGATGTCTAGGACTTACTGGTCTTGAGTACACTGTAACTTCAGTGACTGCGGTGCGGCTCGTGAGTGAGAGAATATCACCCAAGAATGAGGTCTTCCATCCTTTATAAATACAAGTGATCTGCACGGTGCAGCACGCTCAGTGTCAGCGGCGGAAGTTTACGGTAACTGAGAGGGGAAGTTATGAGTAACGTTCACCGACGATATATACACATGCCTGCAGATGATCTAATAGTGACCGACTCATCTGTATAAACGTGACGGCGGGTTTTTTAGCTGGTGTTTGTGTGTTCTAGAGCAAATCATGTATGCGCTAACCCAGGTGTGCTTCTCTTACTTTTCAACCATGGTACTGTCGTGACTATCGTCCAGGACGGAAGCTGTCATGAGGGTCCGGGGACTATCGATGAATTTTCATACGTCAGAGGCTGTAACACACTTCAGAAGTGCTGTCTGAAGTGTGTAGATGATGTACCCTGGACGCAAAACGCGGAAATACTCAGAGAAACTGATAAGAACTCTTAATTAAGCAGGGCAGCTGGAAGAAGTTTGCTTTCCGTCTAGATCCTCACTGTCGATGTATTTTTGGTAAACCTAGGCAAACCCTCTACGCTTTGATCTTCACCCTCACGAGCAGCTGAATATTTGATTTTGCAGCGCCTTGTAGTGCAAGAAGGCAGTACCACAGAAGACCTTCAATTAAAGCTGTGTAAATACGCATAGCGCATTTATGGAGCAGCCTTCAGCTCTACTAGACATCATGCGGAAGACGTTCGCATATGATGCGAGTTTTTCCCTTGAGCAATAGAATGTGAGGTGGCCACGTCATTGATCTGCGAAATGTCACTTCCAAGAAATTTTGACGGAACACTGATCGGGTGTGAGAGCCCGCAGCCTTTAACTTGCAGTGCGACATATTCCGTTTGCTAAAGCAATGGCGGGACACCTGCCTTGGGATTCTATTGTCCACACATCAGTAAAAAAGTCTCAATAGAATTAATTAACCTGCACTCTTGCACGTAGTACATGATAGCTGCGACCACTGAACCACATTGTCACGTGCTTGCGGCAAGAAAGACGCTGATACGTATGCATTGGCTATGAACGACTACTGAAAGGACGAAGAACTCGCTTGTGCGTTCTATTAAATAAGATACCGACCTGCTTGTAGTATCTCGATTTCTGCGGCAAGACCTCTGTTTTGACGTCGTGACAATATGCAGATGTCGTCTGCATATAAAGACATCTCGACTGAGGCAGGGACACGCTTTTCCTGGCCGATAAGCGGAGTATTAAATAAAGTCGCGCTTTATACATGGTTTTGAGGGACTTTGCGAGATATTGTATGAAAAGTGGTGTCACCATATTTTTTACACAATGTACATGGACCGAGCACTTCTCAAACTTTTTAGAGGAACGTAGCACACCTTATTTCCAGTAGTATAACACCATCTCCATCTGTGCCTCTTACGAGCTTTCATAGGATGTTGATCTGTTCCTGTAAAGCTCCCTTCACCACATACAAAAACTACTTTTTGTCCGGTTTCTTGTCCTTTCCTTAGCTGCCAAAATGTTCGAGTGGCGCTGTTGTCTCTGAACATCTGTTTACTTTTTCCATAGTTATACGATATTTATACGATATTAAGAAAAATATTTGTACACGTCATTTATCCCAATTAAGCTTACCAATGAACGTTAAAGTTTCGTGTATATGTGTGTTTCGGTGTATCAATCCTTCGAGGTAGTGGACAAATTAAAAAAAACAATAATGAATGGGAGCTGCAATCACCTCTCTTAAAAACCAGAAAAAGAGAAAATCACATGGCATCCTGAACGGCAGTTTTCGTTATTATTATTTGAATGGAGGAAAACCAAAACTTTCCTCAAAATAGAACAAATTTCAACGACATTGTGGCACTATCGCTACCTTTTGAAAATGCAGCAAAATTTTTTCTAATGTTTACGAATACTTGGGAAACATAGCAGCAACTTAGCGTCGCATTAATTGCGACCGGTCATGCGGAAAAATTTTTTTCCCTGCAGAAGTATAAGTGGCGTGCATGTGTCCCGCTGATGCACGAAGTGCCCAAGCACTCGTTTTAAAACAGTATTCAGTTCACATTTTTTCTGTATTTTTTATAGGCTGCCTTCCTGGTGCAGAAGTTTAGGGTATGTGTTTATTTCTCAATTCATGCTCGATTATTTAAACAAATCATACAGACAAACTGGGAAAACGTATGCCACTTCCATCGTTTTGAATAAACTTTGCAGAGTGCACAGAGGGCAGCAAAGGTGAACGAACATTTGGCTTCGTGCGGGCGAACAGTCTACCAAGTCTGATGAACTGAAAAGTGGTGCCGAAGGTTCGCCGATTTGCATGAACAGGTGCCGTATATGCACATCACTTTACTTTTTCAGCTACTGTCTGCAGTTACCAAGGGCTTCCCCTCGCTATCACACTTAGTAGGTGACCACTAAAACGCATGTGAACTGTGTTGACAATCTAGAAGTTTTACAAACGAGCACCCAGTGTTTGCTTTTTCATCTCGATGGCCAGAACTCTTATGAAAGGGCAAAATATTCTAATATGAACCTTTTACCTTTATTGCAGATTTTTTAGCGGAAGAGATTATGTACCACAGTTAGAAAGCCGGATGAAGGATTGCTGATCATCAGTGCACCTCACAAACATTACTTTTTATTTATACCACGAACTTTTTCTCATAACCTGCAAACATCACTGCGGACGTGTTGCCGCTGTCGTGAGTAGGTCTTGGCTGGTAATGTAGCATGCATGGGGCAACTTCACTGAATGAATACAATCATAGATGTTGATAACGTCCGTCTTTATTTCTGTAAGTATGGAAGATTTTGCAACACCAAATGTAACTGGGCTGGTACTATCACAACACACTTTTGTCGCATTTTTCAAGTGTTATGCACTCTCACGAGCCCATTGTCAACGCCACACTGAAGAAGGAAATGTAAAAAAAAAAAAGACAACATGCACAGAGACCCAAGAGCAGCGTCGTAGAGACGTCAAATAAACTTCTCGCATGAACACTTTATTGGCAATGGTGTATGACTCTTTTTATTTCTCTGGGCTATACTCACTACAGCTTGTGTCAAGTCACGAACAGCGTTCTACATAAGGTAATGATCATTATTTGAGCAAACGTATTCAGAATACGTTTTCACTTACTGGCTTCTTGACCTTGTGATCTGAAGGCATCATTGCAAAAGAGAAAAATTGTTCATACACAATATATGTTTCTGCTATTATGAAATAATAATATGATCAAATGCCTGCAATCAAGGTTCCTGCTCGTACGCTACTCACGGGAAGAGACCTTTAATAGGAAAAGCACAGTTACGCGTAGACTTTTGATTCGCAGCAGTGTGGCGGAATAGGCACTTCCATTACATTGCAATACCGTTCCGGGAAATTCCAGCTTGCCGTGATTCTATTCTTTTCAATTTCTCGGAATGAAAAAAAAACTTAGTCCATTCGCACTCCGGGAATGGCCAGGCAGGGTCAATTCTATTCCTGCAATTCCTCAACGTAGGAAAAGCGTATCTTGATAGCGTTATCAAGCCAAGAATAACTGTAACAACATAAAGCTGATGTCATTAGATGCATAACAACTGCAAAACTACGCTGAACACGTTACCACGTTTGAGGGATAGTAGCTTAGTGACTTATCTCGTGCATTACAACCGAACTACTTATTTGTAAAACGGAGTTCTCCCACTACCTATGGTATTTTCGTGGTGAGCACAATCTCAAAAAAATTTAAACAGTTGGCAACGCATGCTTTCACTTGCTTCGAGCGTATTTCCCCTTCGTGGCATCTCTTTATTATATCCGGCAGCTCAGTGAAGCTTGAAAGTTTTGCCGTTACTAATCAGAAATGCTTTCTTGGTATTTTTAAAAAGTTAACTACTAAGCCACCTACGTTACCAGATGTCTCTTAAACACCACCGTATATATTGCAATAATCGTTAAGAAAAATTTACAGCAATGTTAGTTTTGTCGATTACATTAGAATAAAAATTTCGTGCTAAGTGATTACACACGTATATAAAGAAGAGAGGATAATGACGTGTACAAAACGTCCAATATTATTTTAAATGCTATTGTTGCTAACCAGTACACAGTGTGCTATTCCATAGTAGTAGCATAAATATGCTTGAAACGGCTACTGCAGTACACGATGCCGGCTAAGTCTTGATATTCTACGTGCACGTTGGCGTGTATGACCTCGTCTGTGTTTCGTTCATACCTCTGTGTATGTTGCTGTGATGTGTGCTTGCCATGGTTATTACACGAAGTAATTATTGGCCTCTGATTAGCCTGTGTGGATGATTGCACTTCACTTATTATCCTATAGATAATTATGTCATTGGTTTACCTTTATATGGCAATGTACATGCACATATAAACACCCGTTCACTAAACATTCAGTAATCTATCAATTATTCGAGTCAGCACTGTTCACGAACTACTTTTCAAACTAGCAAGCTTCACTGATCATCATTATACTAAGTTTATTTACTATGAGGTTAGTGCTTTGTGTGACAAGTAATCGGTTAGTAGTTAGTGAAAAAGCAGGCCTTTTTTTTTCTAAGAGTACATGTTTAAACGTATGATGTTTCACTATTGTTTAAGCTCAAATGTGTTAATGCTAAAATAACGACTTAGCGAGTCGTCACGTAGGGATTCTGTGAGGCGCCGCCGGATTACGTGGGATCTCCTACTTTGGCTGGCTATAGCCGAACCGATGCTTTCAAACGTCTATTCTACCTTTCTCTGTACGGTGAATCTTGTACAACAATTCATCACACACGCAGTTCACACAGCACACAGTTCATCGTGTACGAATGTGTGCTGCGCTGACCTACAGGCCATTGCGATACAGTTGAAGCCAAAGGCACCCTTGTGTGTAGTCATGGGGGGGGGGGGGGGGGGGACAGTATTGCAAAATAAGGGGGAGTGTAATATGTGGCGAGACTGAGCGCAAGCTGGTATACGAAAGCTTGCTGTAAACACAAGCATCGTACCGGCGTCAGTACGCATCGCAACTTAGGAAACACTTTTTCGAATATGCGTCCTAGTCGCCGACGGCGGCAGAAGCAAAAACGAAGTGAAGAATGGGGAGACAACAGGCGGCTGAGGTGCCATCAAGGGGGGGAAATCACAAGGGGTAAGGTGGGTATGCCGTCACCATATAGTTCCGCAAGACGGATACTATGGTATAGAGCCGCGTTAACGCGAACAATAGAGAAAAACTTTGGAGCAACACACTCTACATAAGGACGGAATTGTAGTAGGTGCATTGCTGATAAATATATCACGCGTGTATTCAGCCAAGCCTTTTAAAATTACTGCTTTATTGTTAAATTTGAGGGTCTCGCTTACTAATGTTTGAAGTTTGCGAAAAAGAACGTTGACGAAAATGTGCTCTATTTTCGAAAAAAAGATGCAATTCTATTCCCATTCCATTCATCCAGGCTTTGTCGCCATTTTATTTCCATTTCATTCCGGGGGCTCGAAAATGAGAAATTATTCCGGATTCATTCCGATTCCAGAGTGGCACTCCGTAACACTGATTCGCACGCCACGTATTATCAATGTGTTGATGTGTTTCTATCACCGCTAGTGTCAGACGCTTCAGTATCAATGAAATATCTCACCACTGCGCCGGACTCTTCAATGATAGGTAACTGTCACGCTGAGACAGTAGCAAGCATGTCAAAAGGAAGAAAATATTCTCTTAGGTTACATATTTAGTGCCGAAGGCAAGAGCAATGAACTCATCTGTGCTTACGTATGATAACAAGAAAGTTTATTGCAAAGCGTGTGACTTGTGAAAAGCATCATCGCTTTAGTTATCTATATAACTGTGCTAGTAAGCTGAAGCAACACAACAATAATGAAAAGCGCACGGTAAGAGACACATAATTAGGGTTGTGTTCAATTAACGACAAAATTGTGCGTCAATTTTGAGATTTACATGAAAATATGTACATCACCTAGAGAAGCGAAAAATTACTTAACGCAAGCGAAAACATGCATATATTTAGCTGAACAAGCTTAACGTACGTACATTTTATATCTTTTGGGAAATTCATTACCAAAGTCAGAAAAACAGCAGAGCAGGTAAGCGTGGCACTCCACCTCTTCTTAATATTGCTTTACTGTGCTTTAAAAATTCTTTTAACGCAAATACGATTGCGGATCTCTTCTTTCCACTCATGAGGCAATAATTCATAAAATTCCGTCCACTCGCCTTGCTTTGATTTGAAATGGTTAATTGCGCGTGTCTGTGAGATGGCCTTAACGATGTCACCAGCTCTTCCTGACGGTGACTACATAGTGTCTCCAATAGTGGATGTACTCTTGGCCCGAAGTGTTGCTGTGCCGCATACCATTGTGATTATCGTAGACAACTACTTTCAGCTTCCGCTCCTCAACTTTAGTAGTTCGAGCCAAGTTCTTCCGCAAGGTATTTCGTTAGCCCATGTTTACCCACTTGATGCGTGTAGCATCGTGGCATTATACCCTGAAGACTGCTCGTCCCCTATTGCAGCCAGCCGAGCAAACGCACCTACCGACGAAATCACGATGATGATTGCCCCTGATCTTCTGCCCTATCAGGCTGCGCAACTCCACCACGTTCTGACCACCTACCGAGATATTTTCGACATCGATGATCACCCTTTAGGTCAAACGTCCGTCGTGCGTCATGAAATACATATCGGCGATGCCAGTCCTGTTAGACGGCGACCATATCGTGTTTCCCAGTCCGAACATCAGGTCATACAACGAGAAGTTGAGAAAATGCTCTCTAAAGGAGTCATAGAGGCCTCTTCAAGTCCATGGGTGTCACCTGTTGTTTTAGTCGAAAAGAAGTATGGCAGTTGGATATTTTGGGTTGACTACCGTGCCTTGAACAAGATAACCCGCAAAGACGTATATCCACTGCCACGAATCGACACCGCCCTTGACTGCCTTCATGGCGCGCGATACTTTTCATCTATAGATCTGCGTTCGGCAATTAGCAAATTTCTGTCGATGACTTAGACCAAGAAAAAACTGCCTTCGTCACACCGGATGGCCTTTATCAGTTCAAAGTTATGCCTTTTGGGCTGTGCAACGCCCCGGCAACGTTCGAACGCATGATGGACTCTCTCCTCTGTGGTTATAAATCGTTCATCTGCCTTTGCTACCTCGACGATGTGATAGTTTTTTCCCCAACATTCGAAAGCCACCTAATTCGTTTATCGACCATTCTAGCCGTTTTTCGTCGAGCGGGGCTCCAGCTGAACTTGAAAAAGTGCAATTTCGGCCGACGAGAAATCACCTTCCTTGGTCATCA